GGTGGAGGACAGCAGGACTGTGGTGTTACTGTGTCTCACAAAAGATTTAAACAACCTGACTCTGGAGCGTACAGACCCTTTGAACTGCAATACTGATGGATTTGAGAAACTTACACAACCCATAATTCTGTGTTCCCAGTGCTCTGTCCTCCTGGATCCGGCCTCATCAGGAAGTTCTACTTTGTGGACTCACCCCTGAACTGGACCGACGCTCGGAGACACTGCAGAGACAACTACACTGACCTGGCCTCCATCAGCAGCACAGCAGACATGGACACAGTCCTCAACACCACTAACCTGCCCAACGTCACAGCCTGGATAGGCCTGTACCGAGACTGCAGAGAGAACTGGCGGTGGTCTGGCGGAGAGGTCGTGACCTTCACCCACTGGAGGAGTCGGCTCCCCTGCGCCGTTCTTAACGCAACGGGATTCTGGGAGGAGAGAAACTGCAGCAAGGAGAACTTCTTCATATGTGAGAGTCAAGGTGAGACGACACCCAATCCGAGAGTGAGAGCTCAGTTTAACTTTAGACAGGAAGGAACAGGAAACAGGAAGGGCTCAGGTGCAGTGCATTCTGGTATCTGTAGTCTCCCCCCCACAATTTGCAGTCTCTTTGCAATGCATCAGGGGAAGTGTAGTCCTAAAGTACAGGTGCTCCTATACATACCAGTTTTGAAATGCACAGAGTTCAACACAGATGTCTTCCCCTGGGACATTCCTGTCTTGTCGTGCCTATCCAGGCCCTCTTCCTTAGATTTTATTTTCCTTATTTCAGTTAACTACCACTTAACATAAATGACTCTCAGTATCACAGAGCAGTCACTGGTCACAAACTTGTGGAATCAGAGAGCATAAACACCCCCCAGGGACCTCTGTGTCGGTGAGAATGATATTGTCCTGATACAAACAGAGGCCCAGAAATGGTCAAAAGCTGTTCACGCTATGAATTTTGTTTCAAATCAAAACCAATCTCTATCTTTTAGCAAATATGTGGGCTTATACACTTTTAATAAAAACATGACTGTATAATTATAAATAGTTACAACTATGTGTAGTCTCACAGCTGTACACACCATCACTCCTGATCTCTGTCTTCACAGGTGGGGCCCAGCAGTACAGGCTGATCAGGGAAAACAAGACCTTCGCTGACGCCCAGAGACACTGCAGAGAGAGCTGCTCTGACCTGCCCCGGGTGGACAGTGTGGGAGAGTCTCAACAGATCCGGACGACGGCGCAGGGACACGCTGTCTGGATCGCTCTGCTCCAGGACAGCTGGGAGTGGTCTGACGGGAGGCGCTCTGGGTTTCGCAACTGGAGTCCTGGGGAGCCCAATGGAGGAAGAGAAGCCCAGCGCGCTGAGATCTATTTAAAAGCTAACGTAAAGAATAATAATAATAAAAGAGGCGGCTGGAACGATGCAGGTGGAACACATCACAGCCCCTTCTTCTGCTACACTGGTGAGTCCAGCCCTGACAGAGTGTCCCAGAGCCCCAGGCAGTAGCTCAGGGGGCTGAGTTTGTCTCAGGAGAATCCAGTTTGAGAGAACAGCAGCAGAGAGCTGTATCTCCCTCGTCTGACCCCGGTCTCCCAGCAGCAGCACAGAACTACATCAAGAGTGAACAGAAATATCAAGAGATAGAATATTAAATATAAGATTTAATAGATCTGGTACACTTCACTACAGAAATGTTATTTCTATATGTATTTTATTTACAGCTACAAACTCCTCTGAGCAGTACCACTTCATATGTGACAAAAAGTCATGGGTTGAAGCTCAGAAATACTGCCGGGACA